AACTCCAATATTTTGGATTACCCATCACTTTCTGTACCATAGACAAAAGTCGCAAAGTGCACCATCAAATGTCTGTGTGACGACTTCGATACACCAGGTGAGTTTGCCCGCCACTGTAGTCTTCCTTGCTGAGGAGACATGTTTTTGTACATGTTCTTTCTCAACCAATACTGCCTTAGTTGCAGCCAGCATAAAATACCCAGGGCTTCCTGGTATGGGGAAACGTCATACCAGGAAGTATGATTCCTGGTATGATTGTCAGTAACGCATTCATGTGTATAAAAAAAAGGTTCCAAACTACCACCCTATCTGCAGTGTAATCTGGTCATGTCCTCATTGTTCCTATTTTAATTCAATGTTGTACTTCTATAGTGCTTGCACAGTTTTTCCAATTCTTTTTTTTGTGGAATAGTGTACTGGGAACTTACTATTTACCCTATATGGCTCTACACACTTATAACAGAACAGAACAGATCAGTGAATTACTGACACCTAGAGCCCTTGGCTGTTTTCAGCCCATAACCCTCCATTAGTCTAATGGGATCAAGCACAAAGATCTGTGTACATATATTTGTGTTTTGCTTCTGACATGAGTTTATAAAGCCTTTATGAAAGATTTGGGATGCAATGTTTGAATTTTGAATTGCATTTTATGCAGTGGTATAATGATCATACCACTGCATACTATAATGATTATAATGATTCTACCAATGCATAATATAATGATTATAATGATTATACCACTGCATAATATAATGATTATAATGATTCTACCACTGCATAAAATGCAATAGAAAATTCAAATAATATTATACTATAATCTGCAGATTATAAATCCACCAGCAATAGATAATATGGAAATAATGCAGTGTGCATACGTTTTGTGAATGATCATTTACTTATCTCAAAGAAAAACTCCTCTAATAGAAATATAAAGCTGCCATTGCGCCTGAAAAAAGTATTAAAGCCTGATACAGTCTTGAGTAAGTAAGCAGGACCCAGATGCAAACCCAAAGGATAAAGGGTGAAAACAACATTTATGGAATAAAAATAATATGGAAAATATGGCAATTACTTATGAAACACAATGAAACACAATGCTTTAACAAACTAAATGTCATTCAGTTAGGGTTTTGATTTACTTTTAAGCTACCAAGGCTATTGTGTTGAGATGGATATTAAAACATATTCTATTATCTGGAATTCTGATGTGCATCTATTATGCTGACGTGTAATGCTATTTCCAAACATTTATTGATGTAATACAAACAATAAATATGCAAACAGTCTGTAATACAACATTGTTATACTGGTCTCCATAATAGAAGGTCATGAATGCCATAAAACATTGTGGCCCACTACCCAGTTCAGAAGGGAAAAATCATGAAGCCGTGATTATAATAATGGTGTAAGCGGAGGCAGGAAACTGTATACTCAAACTACAAAAATGTTTTATACCTTTTCTTTATCTTTTTTTTTTCCCCGCAGTCACGTGACCACACAGCCTCCCTTCCTGTACCTCTTCCCCATAGAAGGGAGTGTGTCTGTATTTTCAGTGGACGGGCTAGATATTTGACAGCTAGGATCCTGCTCAGGGACGCTGTCAATCAACAGGGCTGGTGGGGGTGACGGCAGAAAAACTGACTACAGACAAGCTGCGCATAAGCACAATGTCCTGTACTTCCAAGACGCAAGATCAGCGATGCAAACTGACCACGTCAGTACGAATATGCTTTTCTACTTGCAGTGGTTAGATTGAAAAAAGGAAACTGGCAGAATCACTGAATATTTTAGAATACATAAAGGCAAAATGACATATAATGTGGGGTTTAACAGCCTCTACAGTATATGTATACACACACACATGTATATATATATAGATAGATATATATATAGATATATATCTATATATATATATCAGGGGCGTAACTAGAAATAACAGGGCCCCATAGCAAAATTTAGTATGTGATCTTCAAAGCCGCTGCTGAGCTGTGTCAGTGACAGCCAGCACCCTTACATGCTATAGCGACCCAGACGGCCCACACGGCATCAGAGGGATGCCCTGACCGGGCCCCCCTGTGCCCCGCCCTATAGCGGCCACCTGGGTCGCTATGGCGATTGCTACGCCACTGTAAGTAATATATGTATTTAAGTGACACAAAACGCAGGAGTTAAATCCTAAAAATGCATTCAGGTACCTTAACTATTAACAAAAAATTTATCTTATTTGTGTATCACCTGGCTGTAGATCATCAAATCATCTCTGAATTCATGCTGACACAGTCCTTCCTTCTGGAGGGTGGCTACATTTGTTTCCCATGGTTCCTGTATGTGTTGCCATCGCTCCAAGCTCGTTCCCGTGATGGACTACAATCTCAATACAAATTAATAAACTAAACATGAGATTGTAGTCCATCATGTGAGTGAGCCTGGAGCGGTGGCAAATCTGTATTCCACCTGAAAGTACTACAATGCCATTATAGAACTAAGAATAGAACATAAAATAAAACTTTTTTTTTTTTTAATACTCACCTGATTCCTGGATCCACCAACAAGCCCGGCCTCCCGTCTCCCACGCTGTTAGAAAAGCTGCATACAGCGTGTGCTGGTTACTACTTAAACAGGCGCGTGCTGTGTGCAGCTTCTGAGAAGATACGCTATTAGCATAGCGGGGAAGGCGGCTGTGCATTTTGCATCGCTCCCGCTACGCTAATAGCGTATCTTCTCAGAAGCTGCACACTGCACGCGTTGGTTTAAGTAGTAACCAGCACATGCTGTATGCAACTTCTAACAGCGTGGGAGATGGGAGGCTACACTTGTTGGATCCAGGAATCAGGTGAGTAGTACTAAAAAAATGTCCCCAGATTTTATTTTAAAAAAATGTGTCACTTTACCTTAGCCTGGTGGTCAGTGGGGGGGGGTCCTACCATACCTCCCTGTTGTGATGACAACTCCAATATTTTGGATTACCCATCACTTTCTGTACCATAGACAAAAGTCGCAAAGTGCACCACGGGGGCACAGACAACAATAAAAAAAATGACCAAGGTAGTACTAGCTCTTTTACAGTCCATCCCAAACCTGAGGGAAAAAAAAGAAAATGTGGGCTTTACAAACCCATTACTTTTATAGCCTTTGGGATTATATACATGAAATAAAGAAACACCACCAGAGGGAGCTCCAACATGGCTGCTTTCCCTTGGAATATCTATACAATTGCATTTCTGTTTGTAATACAGATAGCAAATAATGTATGCATTGCCCATGTATTTCCAGGCTTTGAATTCCAGAATCACAGGTACCAATAGATAGTATGAGGTATAACATGATAGAAGACAGAAGATTATATTGAACTGAATAAATTGGTTAAGTGGAGGATAACTTGAATTTCATGAAAACATGATAGAACATAAATAATTGCTATATAAGCCCCTTTGTAATTTAATGTCATTAAAATTGTTAAATTACAATTGTCCTTTCCTTTACTCCATGGAAACTGTATATATATAGTGCTACCCCAAGGTTTTCTCCTATTATAATTGATGTGACTGTACCAAGCAGAGGCTGCAACTTAGCATAGAGAAAGTAGTGGGTTTACCTGTCTGTGTTTCTACCAAACAGCAGAATCCGGTAAAAGATTGTGCTGTTTTCTAAAATCCTTGCAAAATATCAACTGGAGATTGTTTTTCTATCTCACCAAAGTAGAGTTTGGTTTTAATGCTTTATTAAAAAATTTTAGCAGTATAAAATGTTTTTCCTTAATAAGGTGTATGGTAAAATGGGGAGCAACAGTAATATCTCTGCAATCGACTTCATTGCTGCATGCTTGTTCAGGTCAGCTACTTAGATAGCATTGAAGTCAGAGACAGCCATGCAGCTAGCATTTTCAAGAGGAGGTCCGTAATGATGTCCTATGGGTTTATTTTAGTACAGGTTTTGTTGAATTGGTATGACTAGAATTTTTCATGTGCATCGATATACACTGAGTGGCCAGATTATTATGACCGCCCCATCAGTACTTCGTTGGGCCACCTTTTGCCTTCAATACTGCGGCGATTCTTCTTGGCATTGACTCCACGAGATATTGAAAGGTGATGCGAGGAATCTGACACCATGCCTGATGAATAGCACTGTCCAGTTCTGTGAGATTTGATGGTTGTGGAACCAGCTGCCTGATGGCTCTTTCAACTTCATCCGCAATTTGCTCAATTGGATTGAGATCTGGTGATTGTGGGGGCCACCTAAGCAAGGTAAATAAGCAAGGGGAGTTGTGCCCTGTCCTTGGTGTCAGTGGAAGGAATAATGCCTCATTATTGGTTCCAGTGGGATGAATAGTGCTCCATCATTGGTATTAGTGGGATGAATAGTGCTCCATCATTGGTATTAGTGGGATGAATAGTGCCCCATCATTGGTTTATGTGGAAGGAATAGTGCCCAAATAGTGGTCTATCTGGAAGGAGTAGTGCCCCAACATTTATATTAGTGGGAGGATTAGTCCCTATTGTTGGTGTGGAAGAATAGTGTGCCATCATTGGTGTCAGAGGGAGGAATAATGCCCCATCATTGGTGTCAGTGGAAGGAATAGTGCCCCATCATTGGTGTCAGTGGGAGGAATAATGCCCCATCATTGGTGTCAGTGGGAGGAATAGTGCACCATCATTGGTGTCAGTGGGAGGAATAGTGCCCCATTGTTGGTCTTAATGTAAACAATAGTCCCCTATCATTGGTATCAGTGGAATTAATAAGTTGCTATTATTGGTGTGAGTGGGAGAAGTAGTGCCTCAAGACCCATTTAAAGGCAAGCAAGGGGCTGCATTCAGTTTGGAGACCACTGCTCCAGAGCAATCTTGCAATGGATAAAAGTAGGGATGCCCCGATACCGGTACTAGCATCGGTATCGGGACCGATACAGGGCATTTTGACAAGTACTTGTACTTGTCAAAATGCCCCGATGCATAGCGCCGAAGCTTGCGCTATGATTTTTATTCTTTTTTTCTTACCTCGTCGTGCATCGTGTCAATGCTGCTCCGGTGGTCAGCGCTCCAGGTGGGGTCCTAATTTAGGTGGCCGGCGACTGCCCAGAGGACCCCACTCGGAATGCCGCCCACCGGAGCAGCAGTGACGCGACACTCCTCTTCAGCTCAGCGCCATCCTTCAGTGCCGGAGAGCAGCGGCGAGTCAGCGCTGGTTCGGTGGGAGGAGCTCCAGGTAAGATCCTAATTTAGCTGCTCTCCTGCACAGTGAGTGAGGGCAAGTAAGAGGGCAAGTTTTTTTTAAGAAAAAGTATCAGTAATTGGTATCGGCAAGTACATGAGGGGAAGTACTTGTACTTGGTCTTGAAAAAGTGGTATTGGGACATCTCTAGATAAAAGTAATAAAGCACCAGTTGGAAAATATGTGTGAATGTTTAGCAACTGTTGCCTCTTCTCCACAGCAAAGTGAAAGGCCAATTCAGACTTCATAACATCAGCTGAGTAGGAAAGAAGATAACAGAAGCAGAATAAACACTGGTAAAGCTCTTACTTTATATTCTTATTATATGCTATTGTTTTAGGTTTTAAAGATAGAAACAATCTCACACTTTAAGTACCGCAGCGCTGAACACTGAAAAATGGCCTGGCCAGGTAGGGGATCTAAACACCTGGTCTTCAAGCGGTTAAATAAAACATTTTATTTACTTAGAGAAGAAAAATAATCTGGCCTCAAATGTACACAATGAATGCATTATTGATGTTAATTTTACTTGCCAGTACGAGGAATATTTAACATGTTGAATTGTTTTCTTTTGATTCTGTATTTATATCTACAGAGGGGAGATCATCAACCCAATATACAGTAATGCATGCATAGTTAGCACTCATGTGTCTTCCATATCAGCACGTGTCTACTCATATGCTCTGCCCTCGCCACCTGCATTGCCCTGTCATGCTTGATTGAGAGCAGTTCTGGGAGGGTGGCTGCACAGAGCATTTCCATTTAACTTATAGCAATGAGCTCAGCCACGTAATTGTAGCTGTGCACCCACATAGGTGATGCACACTGTGGAAGGGGCCAGAGGGAGAATATGAGACAGACACCGTGCACGTCTTCCAGTCATGCAGTCATTCAAAAAGTGATTTTATAAGTCATATCAGAACTAAAAATCCAGTGATCTAACATATATGCAGTGTGTGTGTGTGTGTGTGTGTGTGTGTGTGTGTGTGTGTGTGTGTGTGGGTGTGTGTGTGTGTGTGTGTGTGTGTATGCACCTAAGTTAATCAAACCCCTAATGTCAGGCTTTGATAGATGGTCAGAAGAACCTTGATATATATAACTTATTTCAGGCTTCACAAGAGGCTTGAACAATATTTGGGACTGCAGCTGTAATAAATAAAAATACAGTGTGCTATCAAATATGTAGTGTGTGTGTGTGTGTGTGTGTGTGTGTGTGTGTGTGTGTGTGTGTGTGTGTGTGTGTGTGTGTGTGTGTGTGTGTGTGTGCAACCCTTTACAAAACTCAGGGAGACAATATAATTAACAATATAATTTCAGTACAGGAGGTAGGAGGGCCCTGCTTGTGATAGCTTACAATCTAGTAGGAAGGGCAAGTGATACAAAAGGTAATAACTGTTTGGGATTAATTAGTTGAAGATCTAAAAGTACTGTTATATCGAGGTGGAAAAGAACTCCCTGAAGTAATTAGTTTTCAAGGATTGCCTAAAGGTGGATAGAGTAGGAGATAGGCAGACAGATTGGGGCAGAGAGATCAAGAGGATGGGAGACACTCTTGAAAAATCCTGTAGGCGAGTATGCGAGGAGGTGAAAAGAGAGCTGGAGAGCAGGAGGTCTTGGGAGGAGCAAAGAGGGCGGTTTGGTTGACATTTTGAGATGAGGTGGGTGATGTAGGTTAGGGCAGAGTTGTAGATGGCTTTGTAGGTTATTGTTAGTATTTTTTATTTTATACATTGGGGAAGTGGGAGCCAGTAGAGCAATTGGCAGAGGGGGGTGGCAGACACTGATCGGTTGGCAAGGTGGATGAGTCTGGCAGCAGTGTTACCAATGGACTGAAGGGGGGACAGCCTGCTAAGTGGTAAGCCAACAAAGAGGGAGTTACAGTAGTCGAGACAAAATATTACAAGGGAGTGAATTAGAAGCTTTGTGGTATGAAATGTTGCAGAGATTGAGTCGGCAAGATTTGGATAGTCATTGGATGTGGGGCTGAAAGGAGAGCTCAGAATCAAGGATTACTCCGAGCACCCTCGCTTGATGGGAGGGATTGATTGTAGTGCTGTTGATTGTGATGGAAAAGTCGGGGCAGGGAACATGGAGAGCAGGAAATATTATAAGCTCAGTTGTGGACAGATTTTGTTGGAGGAAGTGGTGTGACATCCATGTAGATATGTCAGTGAGTAGTTTAGTGATGCGTGAGGAGATCGAAGGGGTGAGCTGAGGGGTAAAGAGATATATTTTGGTGTTGTTAGCATAGAGATGGTAGTGGAAGCCATGGGAGGTTATCAACTGACCCAGGGAGGAGGTGTGGATGGAGAATAGAAGGGGCCCAAAGACAGAGCCTTGGGGAGCCCCACGGATAAAGGAAGAGGAAGTACAGTTATAGGTGACACTGAAGGTGTGCTGAGATAGATAAGAGGTGAACCAAGAGAGAACAGACTATTGGAATCCAAGAGATTGGGGTTTATTGAGGAGGAGTGAGTGGTCAACTGTATCAAAAGCAGCAGAAAGGTCCAGAAGTATGCATACAGAGTAGTGGCCTTCGGTTTTAGTGGTTAGTAAATCATTAGTAAGTTTTAGTAGGGCAGTTTCTGTTGAGTATTGCAGACGGAAGCCAGATTGAAAGGGGTTGAGGAGGTTGTTAGCAGTAAGGTGGCGGCTCAGGCAGTTGTGGGCCAGGCGTCCACAACAAAATAATTTTGAGGTAGGTTTATTTATTCTTTAATAATGATGAAGATCATATTCATAATATGCCTATACACTGTACACATGTGATAGTCTTTTCAAAATATAAGTTCATAATAATCTACATAATGCATCTTTGCATGCTAAAATATGGACCAAGTTCTCTTAATATCCATTTATCTTTTAAGATAGGAATGTCCCATAAGGTTTTTCTTAGAGTTACTAGATGGTCGCAGTAGTATAATGTAGCATTTAGGAAAGAATATACAAACAAGTAAACCAGCAGCAGATGAGAGGATAGCAAATATCTCCACAGCAGTGACATATTTACCACTCGTACTCAAATAGCCAGGTATGAAGCACACCCAGACCATGACAAATACCAACAAGCTGAATGTAATAAATTTTGCTTCATTAAAATTATCAGGCAAATTCCTAGCCAGAAAGGCCAGAACAAAACAAACCAGAGCCAGGAGCCCAATATATCCAATAGCCACAAGAAATGCCAATTCAGATTCCCGGTTGCATTCTAGAATTATCTTTGCTATTATAGTGTCCCTGTTCTTCTTCATAATCAATGATGTAGATGAGAAGAACCCAACACAGATTGCAATCTGAACTGAAGTGGTCAGGCCCACCAGTGCTCTCTGATGAGAGGGCTGGAAGAATTTCACCAAACTCTGGTTGGGTTTTGCCATTGTGAAGGCAATAATGACAACCAATGTCTTAACTAATACACATGAGATATTTAGAACAAAGCTGATAGCAAACACAGTTTGTCTAAGGACACATAAAGTTGTAGAGGGTTCACCAATGAATGTAAAGGTACCAATAAAAGACACTAAGAGTGAGGTAAGGAGAAGGAAACTCATTTCTAAGTTTTGGGCTCTCACTATTGGAGTATTCTTGTATTTAATGAACACCAGTGTAACTGCAATGGTTTTAAAGATCCCCAGAGAGGCTGCTGTGGAGAATGTGATGCCAAGAGGTTCTCCAAAAGACAGGTAATCCACTTCTTTAGGAACACAGACAGTTTTGTTTTTATTGGACCAGTAGTCTTGGTCACATTTTATACATTCAGTGGAATCTAAATTTTTTAAAAAAGATAAAAGGGACACAAAAAGGCCATTAATTATGCACAATATGTATATTCTGGAGAAAGGATATGTCTGTCTTAGTAATACATGTGTTGGGAAATATGAGTAAAGCAGAAACGCTCTATGCCACAAAATTAAGGAATTGTTAACAGCTGTAAAATAACAGAATATTGACGTAGAAACCTACATGTTAGACAGACAGACAGATAGATAGATAGATAGATAGATAGATAGATAGATAGATAGATAGATAGATAGATAGATAAATAGATCCCATTGTATAGTCCAGGTTGACGTGTACTTACAATCCAGGCTGGGGCAGTTTGTGTATTAAATGGCTTTAGAAGCAGTCTGCCTTTAGCAGGAGTCCAAATTATTGTTGAGGGAGTCTAGTTGGGTTCCCCCGATTACACTGCTCCACTCCACTCCAGGTTTTCTGCCCTGGAGGTTGTTAAAAAAGAGAAAGGGTGTGTGCAAACCCAGAGAGCTCCAGTCTATGATTACAAACAGACTGGGTAGCATATGTACAGGTAGAGATAACAGACAGACTCTAGGGCTGTAATGGTATGGCCTGGAACCTAGATGTTCCTCTAGAAATCAATCCCCTTATGGAACATGTTGTTAGGACAGCCTCTGGTGCCTATGCAGTACATGCCACCAGAAAGGAACAGCAACAGGAGCAATGGGGAAATTAAATTTGTGAGTAAACAAAAATCCAACTTGAAAGGAATTTGATGTAAACTGGGAGCAACATGTAGCAACTCCTGAAGCAATTGAAAGGCAATTTAAAGCAACCCAATTGTGCATCAAAGCATTTCTGAAGCATTTCAAAACATGCTGCATTTGACTCACTTCTTAAGCCGATCTAAATAAGTCAGTAAAGTACAGTTGTAACCAAAATTATTCAACCCCCAATGTACATCAGGTTTATTGGCAAAATTTACAGACTTTCAGCTGTTTGCAGTGAACAAATCAAACAAAAGCAATTGAAACAGGTCAACACAACTAATGTTTCAAGTGGTTTCCCCAAATTTAACTGAAAATTCAACTTTTAATGACTTCTGCAGTCTCAAAATTATTCAACCCCTTTCATGGCAAGAATCTTTAGTACTTAGTAGAGGACCCTTTTGCTGTTATGACTTGCTGCAAACATGATGCATAGCCAGGCACCAGCTTAGCCCATTGGTCTTGAGCAATGGCCTCCCAATTCTTGGGTTTGCGTGCTGCAACTGCCTTCTTCAAATCCCACCAGAGATTTTCTAAGAGGTTCAGGTCAGGTGACTGTGATGGCCACTGTAGAATCTACCATGACTTCTTCTGCAACCAAGCCTTGGTGGAATTTGAGATATGCTTGGGATCATTGTCCTGTTAGAAGGTCCAATGATGCCCAAGCTTCTCACAGATGGCATGACGTTTTTTTTTAGGAATTCCCGATACTGCCAAATACCTGCAGCAAGACTCAATGGCAACAGGCACTGAAGTTTCAGTTTGCATGTAAGGCATGTACTAAATGCAGAAGATTTATATGCCAGAATTACAAGACACACACCACTACTGACCCAAAAGCAAAAGAAAAGTCAGCTCCAGTATGCTCAAATTCATGTAAATAAGCCAAAGAAATGTTGGGATTCTGTTCTGTGGAGCGATTAAACAAAACTGGAACTTTTTGGCCTTACGGATCAGCAGTATGTCTGGAGGAAGAAAAATGAAGCATATACTGAAAAGAACACTCTGCCTACAGTTAGGCATGGTGGTGGCTCAGCGATGCTCTGTGGCTACTTTGCATCCTCTGGCACTGGAAACCTGCAGTGTGTGAAAGGCAAGATGGGTTCATTGCCACCTGTGAGGAATCTGAAGCTTGAGTGTTATTGAACCTTCCAACAATAAGTAATCATACACGTTTATGGATGTAATTGAAGCTACTGAACTAAAGGATAATACCTGTTCCATTAGATATCTCTCCATCTGGGCATGGAATACAAGTGAAGCAACAAGCTGGTTGACCGTGTAAGATGCTTTTCCTGAATCCAAGCTTGCAGCTGGCACTACACACTGAGACTGGGGGCTGACAGAGGATGTGGTTAGTCATGTAATATTTATACATTGAGTACAACAACAAATAATATATATTTTTAGTATATATCAAAAGAAGCATTGCTTATGTATGTCTAAGTAAATGTAAAAAATAGCAATTGCTCCAGGCCTTACAGATACAGAGACAATATTATACCTTCTACCAGCTGAAAAGCCAAGAGTCTGAATGATTAGGGCCTTTTCAGAGTTTAAACCACAATCTTCTAATGTCATATCCTTATATCGTGAAGAGGGTTTCTTCTAAAATCAGACCAGAACAGATAACAGGTTCCTCATTATTGTATGGTACTTTTTTATTGTATGGTATTTTTTTTTCCGTTCAATCCTGTGTTTGATCGCCTGTGTTGGAGGGCAGGAGAGACATCAGGAGTTGAACGAAAGAAATAGATCAGTGTATGGCCAGCTTAAAAAGCCCCTATGTGACAGCATTTGGAGGTGATTGGTTATCTTTATGGAAACATCAGGCATCTATTAGACTCCTGATGTCTCTCCTGCCCTCCAACATGTGCTTGATAGTCTGTTTACCTGGCACTCCAGCTGGGTTTTAACAGCGCTTCCTGCTTCATTCAGCACAGAGCCGGCCCCTATCAAAATACCCAACCAGTGCAGACAGCTCATTGGCTGCCGGCTCTGATCGATCCAATATTTTACGACTGCCTCCTTTGATCAGCTGGTTGAGGGATGCCGATCAAAAGGGTGCCGACAGCGGCACACACTGTGCAAATTTCAGCTGGTTCCTCAAAAACTGGACGAAATTCGAACAGTGTATGGACACTTTCAGCCTGTTTGTGATAGCAAAAGTTAAGTGACATTTTTTTTTAAAAAGGCGATAAAGTAAAAAATAATAAAATAAATAGAAATTAAAAAGGTGATATAAAGTAAAAGATAATAAAATAAATACAAATTTAAAAAAGTGATATAAATTAAAAACAAAATTTTAAAACCAACCCTGCCGCCCCCACCGCCCCCGCCATCTGATTTGATTGAACACATGCATGTAAGGCATGCACATATATGTAAATGGGGGGCTCTAACAAAAAAAACAAAAAAACAGTGCAATACATTGGGTTTGGCGCATCAGCACTGTGGCTGGGAACACACACCAGCGGCTGTGCCCTGTAATGTAGCTGCTGATGTGAATACAGCCTGGCGGACTATGGTACAGACATGGAGTGACCATTCTGCTATTCTGTCCGGACTGCCAATTTTACACACCAGACCTCCTTGAATTTTAATTATACCCCTGCTTTAGGTCATGCTATATATATATATATATAAATTTAAAGTTGGGTGACCTGCAGAAATACTTTAAAATATTGATTAGCAGTAAGCAATGCAGAACAACTCAATACCAGATGGCACTGTAAAAGCAAACAAAATTTCAGTGACTCCCTAAACAGTGAAGTTGGAGGATATGTGAGGTTGGGGTTGTTGATAAAATGTTGCTGATACACATGACTTCAGAATTTAATTTACAGTATGAACACTTCCTCTACTGGCCTGTTTGACATGTCTCATGCTAAGTGTTCTTAAGAGTAAAAGTGGCAAAAGAGTAAATGGAATATGTTGTTATTCTGCTTCTGTTAGAAGTTGACCATCTTGATTTAAAAAATAGGACCATTTTGATTTTGATTTAAACCACGACGAGCTAAGCCAGAGGTGAGTTTAATTTGCATTATATAGGGCTAACCTGTGACATGTCTCCATTCCATAAGGTCTCTTGTTCATCCATCACTAGTTGGTGCCTGTGTGGTGTACGGTCACTGTAGCTCCCCACCTTCTTATACTGGAGCAGGCCATTGTTTCCCATCTGCCAGTTTAACACATCATACTTTGGCACTGGATCCCCATTCTGGTCAAAGTAATGCTGATCTCCACTGCGGTCTGTGAAATTCACTCTTTTTAATGCTCTTACTAACTGAAAATTGGAATCAAATTATGAGAACAAAAATGATGACAAATGTTATACAAACTTTTACAATGATACGCAATTATATTGTTTACAATGATAAGCGATACATACAATTATACAAGCTACATATTTAAATATGAAATACAGTTAGTATAGAATGCAGACCATATGAATCAGAATAATAAGGGTGATTTTATTTTAATTGATGACATATTTATACATCTGTTTTCATATTATTTTAGAACATTTGTGAAAGGACTTTCAAAGTAAGCAAATTGTTTTTGCAACCACTGGCTCCAGTAATGACTTTAGAGCCTGGGATGTCTAAAGATGGCCATGTATGGTGTAAAACTGAAGACCATGGGTGGCCCTATTGGTACCTCTCTGCTTGACAGTTGAGTTTACAGTTGAATTTTGTTGAATTTGCCAGTCCAAAAATTTTAAGCCAAACAGTGCCACACAGTCTGGGTATTAAGCAACTGCTGGAGCAGTGGATGCTGAATACAATAGCTGACAGCAGGAGATTCACAAACCTTGCTGTTTAAAATGGATAGATCAATTATCTATTAGTGTATGGCCAGTCTACAACAGCTGTACAGCCATGGGGACAGTAGGCTGCAGTACAGTGTTAGAGTGAAAGTAAGCATATATTTTGACAACTAAATGAAAAGTAAATACGTGAGAAGTAAAAGAAAATTCAAAGGACTAATTTATGAACCCCAGTTTTACAATATGGTAGGTCATGCAAAGCTGTGCAGTATCCTATGCCAGCCAATCATAAAGCAGCATTTTTTAGACTGACTAAATTTTGCATTCATCCCTGGCTACATGTTCATGTTAGCTGCTTGTCACTTCTGTGAATGTTCACTAAAATAAACTCAAGCTGCGCTTAATTTGAATACCCAATCCTGTAGTACAAAAATCCTGTTTTATCAATTTACCTCACACATTAATTGGTATATATAAGAATGGAAGCACTTTTGGCCATTATTTCAATTTTTAAAAGTTCAAGGATAATTTCATAATTCTATTATTCTGAAAGGAAAGTAGAAATGTCTTTCCTGAGGCTACATTGATTCATATAATATAATAGTGTGACATGTAATACTAATATATATATATATATATTCGGGGATTCGGATGCTTTTGAATTTTCAAATTTGTATGCGTTCTAATGCAAATAAATCCAAATGTCCGTCCAAATTTTATTCCTAACAAAACTAAATCGGACATGTGACTGTTCTTTGGCCCATCAGATTTTTTTTTTTGGGGGGTTACATTACAGGCAAGGTCATGTGACTGTCCCGAAAGGAGAATTTGTATCCTTCCTAAATGAACCTTCAGATAGATTCGAAATCCGAAAACCAAAAAATGTTTTAAATCCAAACCGATATGCAACTAAACAAATTTTATGCAGGGTTACATGTCTTATATATACATATAAGTATCATTTTAAATCAAGAAAAAAGGAGAAATTGTCTTTATATTGTATACCACTTGTTGGTACTTAACCTAACCTGAATTTGTTTACTGAAGCAGACATTACCTGCCAGGGCTGTATGTCGTGTACTCTTCTGCATGGTTCATTTCCACAGTAAATCAAGCTCTGGAGAGCATTAGCCATGGCATGTGCAGCATTGTAAACATTAAAGGTTATTCTCAGCTGTGACACATCTGTATACGTGTTATTCACAGATGACAGGTTCTCTTTGCCAGTACAAATGTTTGTAATGTTCTGAGATTGAGAAAGGTCAAGCCAGGAACACCCGAACATGTTCTCCCAGAACAACTTTATTATAGGATCTTCGGGTTCCTGAAGTGGATTCACCTGGAGTAGGAACTCTTTCAGGCCTGAGATTGTTCCTGTGGGTATTGCAAGTCCGAGAGTACCACTAAAAAAATGACTTTGATCCTTTTCTAATACAAAAGCTGATGTGCTCCAGCCTTCACTGGCTATCCATGTCCTGCCTCTAATGTTCTGTTTGGCTACTTCCCAAATTAATGGTATCAAGTTGGTGTCTCCAGAGACCACAATTATGACTTTAGCTGAGGAACGTTTTATTGTAGCAGCAATCTGTTCATATTTTGTTTTGGAATACACTAGAGGGATTGTCTCTGAAAATGCCACGCAGACACCAAGCCGTACAATCTGTTCAGTGAAAAGCTGCACTCCCAGATGTCCATAGTCATTGTCTTCAGCTACAGTGCCCACCCACGTCCAACCAAAGTGCTCCACCATGGCAGCCAAAGCTGTGGTTTGAAATGTATCACTTGGTATGGTCCGGAAGAATGAAGGAAACTCCTGCTTATTACTCAAGATGTTGATAGAGGAAAAATAACTCACCTTAGAAAGAAACAACTCAGGTAATTGCAGTCAGTCATATATAAAGTAACTTGATGTGCTTAATTATAAAACTTCTATGTAGATAAGTGTGGTATGGGTCATATCTTAATAAGATTTACTATTAGAATAACTTACTTTTCAGCAATAAACAGACAGAACTGAAATGGATACGATAAATGTTTTCATTATTGTCATAATGGCTTATAGCTAAAAATTACCTTTAAAGCCCATTTCAGGGCACAAAAAAACTCACCAGTATCACAACAGATATCGATTCCGTTGCCAGAAAACAAACCTCCTGTCCTGCTGGCTTTATTCTAGAGCTGTCAAATCACGCTGTACTTCTTTGCTCTCTTGGATATAAATGCTGCAGGTCTCATAGACCTCATTGCTACAGTCCCATTTCCACTGCCCTCTCCCCCTGGCCAATCACAAAACAGAGTCTGGGCTGTGTGTTTTGTCAATAGGCAGAAGGAGAGGGGGACTGAGATGCCACCATAGCACTGAGTTCTATGAGAAGAACAGATTGTATAGCTCCAGAATAAAGCCAGCAAGACAGCAGATGTATTTTCTGCCAACAGACTCGCAGCAGACAGAAAAGCAAATGAGCACAAAATTGGAGCTGCCTATAGTAGACAATCAGACTTCAGCCTGCATGGAATTTATGGAAATATGTTATGTGACTTCAGACCGGTTGATGTAAGCACCCATTTGCAATTTTGTGCTCATTTACTTTTCTGCAGCTTTAATAAATCATTTCTCAAGTTGGGTTTTGGCATGTGTGATAAGTTTGTTTTTCAGTACATCAGTCAGCATAAAGCCCTTTTAAGGGAAATTCCACCTTTTAGAAAAAATAAATAAATGCACACTTCTTCATAAAAGAAAAAATGTGCATTTTCATTATTGTTTTTGCTTTGGAGCCAATAATGCATTGCAACTGCGATCAGTGAATCACAGGTGCAATGCTCTGGCTCCTACAGCCTCTACTTCCAATCCATGTCATTGCATTCAGTAACAAGAACGGGAGGAAGAATGAGTGGACTATAAGTGCAGTGCTATCTGACCATATTTCCTTTTTATAGGTGTAACATGAAACATGGCTAGAAAGGTAAAGACTATGTAATGAGTGAGTGTTGTAGTGAGTGATGTAATGTGCAAAGTGGAGGTGCTGCAAAATACAGCGGAGTTTCTACTCCTGAAATCTTATTGTCCAATTTATGTGTTATGTGGTAACGGCATTGCCTGCCCTTTTATACATACCTGAAGAATGTATACAATCCTTGCACTGATTAAGGATTAGGGTTGCAGAGATACCAAGTACAGTACTCGGTACAAGTATGAGTACATGTACCGATACTTTTGAGCTCCAAGACTAGACTAGAGAAAAATTAAAACATTAGGAAGTAGCTGTCATTTGTAAGGAGCACACGGAGCTCCTGGGATTTGTACATCTCTGTTTTAATGTACGATTTTGTTTTTATAAATATAAATAAAGGGATGCACCGATACCAGTTTTGCGAGTACGAGTACTGGTACTTGCCGAGTACTTACAAGTACGAGTACTGATACATTTTTGTTTATTGTCATGTGACAGTTTTTCTAAAACAATACAGACTAATGATTTCAGGACAGTGGTGGAGTGCCAGAGCCAGGTCCCAGCTGCAACCGCTGCAACCCTGGTAGTTCTCATGAAAATGCCAAGTGTCTGCACTGGTACTCAAAAAGTATTGGTGCATCCCTATTAAGGATTATTGTTGAACTAATGGCAGAAGTGTAGAAAACTTAGAATGGAGTATAAACTATTAATCTGTATTTATCCTTACTTTATTATATAAGGAATAAAGTAAGGTATTATTTTTATTTTGCTTTATCATACAGGAAAAAATAATAATATTAATAATATCATATTGTAAACATATTAAACTAACGTTACTTTATTTTCTATTGTTGTCACAGTAAACCGTTTTAAAATGTTGGCATCAGCATGATTTTTCTCAATGGAGCTTGCACAAAAATAATTTGCATAAATAATTTGCATAAACATACAGTACATATCGTTATTATGTTTTAAAACATATAATGAGACATTGCACTTGTAATCACTCACTTGATTACAATGACATGTGTGTTGCCTAAAAGAAAACTACAGTACTTAAAGTAATGTATAGGGGTTTTGTACACATTTCCTTTCCTTATCTTTTTATTTCTATTCATGTTAATATGTATTTGAAAATATTGTATTCTTATTTCCAGCAAGGAGAGCTGGAGCCCCATAATTGTTATCCTTATAAAAGATTTACAAGGATCATGTGCACACCAGCAGGAATTCAATAGCTGATAGATTTGTAGCAGACTATAGAAAAAAAAATCAACCTGAAAAAGACACAAAAACATGTACACATCTCAAAAGCAACTTCCACTCATATGTTAACCTATTCCTTTTAACAGAGCCCCGATAAGGGTGTCCTCAGTAATCTCTCATCACTCCAAGACATCCTTGATATCTAGCCATGTGATTGTTTGATTGGGAAAATATTCTAATGCCTCATGTCCCATAAATTCTGTCAGAAACAGTTTGCTGAGTTACAAAGGGATGATATTGGTGTTACTAGTGTTGATATGTATCATATAAAAATATGTGTTTAGCATCATAACATAAATGAGTTGTCATGAGTGATATTACACCACTATACACCTATACCTACTAAAATACCTGTGGATAATGATATGTGCCCAAAATTCTTGCCATTGCTATTGATATCACAGAGGCTGATTCACCGATAACTGCAGCTAACGTAGAGTTCGTTTGACAGTGGTAATTTGGAATATCTCTTGCTTCGTGCGTCGGTCCAGAAATTAGCGTAAACATCTCTTTCACTACTTCAGCTATGTTGTCACAAGTATCAAAGATTGCATAGCCAAGCGTTGTGTTAGGAAGAAGATACGGATCATTATTCATTTCTTGGACCGTAAAGATCAATGCTTGAAGCCAGCGGTAGCTCCTAAAATCAAAACTGATAGAAAACTTTCTGTTTATGATGACAGATAACAAAGCATACAATACAGATATCATTAGCAGAGATATTATTAGTGATAAACATGATGGGATACCATCATCTCTATTACTGCTACTATTATAAGCTACATGTTATAAATCATAAAATTATTTGGTATACAGTTGCGAAGTAAAGCATTATTCAGCAAAGAATTCGGGTGCTATCACACATGATAATTATTTCAGTTAAAGTGACATTAAACCCTCAGATGTTTTAACATAAAAATACTGTAATGTGTGCCTTACTGTAATCCATGGTTGTTTCCCTTCTCTTTGCTGCTCTTCCTTTTAAATCTGTATCTCTTCTCATGCTGGGCAGAACTTCTGTTTTGCAGCAGACTGCCTTGTCTCTGGAATGGCTACATGGTGTCTGTGTGCAGGTTCACAACCTGAGCCAGCACTACAGGAAGAGGCACTCAGCTGCAAAGGGAAGTTCTCCCCCAGCATGAGAAGACATGATGATTTAAAAGGAAGAGCAGCAAAGAGAAGGGAAACTACCATGGATTACAGTAAGGCACACATTACAGTATTGGTTTATGTTAAAAAATCTGAGGGTTTAATATCACTTTAAGGTGCCCATACACCTTGCGATTATCGTACGATAATCGGGGGCAATCCCGCGATCGTACGATAATCGCAAGGTGTATGGAATGCGTGTGACAGTTTTTACTGTACGGTCGCACGTCTTTTGTCGAACCAGCATGCTAGAAAACCCGCCGAGAATCGTACGATCGCACACTGCACGTTCAGCATTGCGGTCATGGGAAGCCCGCCCATCAGCAGGGTGGGCTTTCGATGATCGCAAGTACGATCTGCCTGTCCAAGATCGGCAGATCGTACAAGCTTTTAATTAGCTTACGACCATCGCAAGACAAAAGTCTTGCGATGGTTGTAAGGTGTATGGGCACCTTAAGTGTAGCAGACTGAAAATGTATGTATAATTTAGGTTTATTTATTGGGACCACCTGGGTAATAAACACCCGTCAAGGGGTACTTGAGATAAAATGATCCACACCAAGGTATACATGGTAGAAATTGGCTTTACATACTGTAAGGTTAAGAGAGATTGAGATAAAGTTTGTGAATAAGGAAAAGAAAAAAAAACAAGTGATCCAGGATTGTAAAATGTTCCGAATTTCCTGGGACAGACACGTTGGAGACTTTGGCCTCAGAAACTGCAGTTTTGGAAATGTTAGTAACAGCCAACTAAGTTCTAAATTCTTTAATTCTGTGTTGTATGTTTAGTTCCAAGTATATGAAATCTGGACTTTTGAATACACTTATTTCAGTACACCGACTTTAATCGGGTAAAATAAACCTGCATTCTAGTTTCACAATTGAGTAGTGATTCTAATAGAGAGAACTGGGAATGACAGCCTATTCAAATATTCCAGCTTAACAGCTAAGTACAACTGGGAAATGATTTTATAGAGCTGCCTGCTGTGCCAAAGTAAACTGCTGAAAGTAAATGTCATACTGTACAAAGAAGAAAAAGATTTTGCACAGGTACAAATTTGGACAATTTACAGAAAGAAACATGTTCAGACACATATATGTGGTATGTACCAATTAGTATATTTTTTATTTTACCTTATAGAGTTGTAAGGTTTTTCAGGTATTCAGACGTGAGAGCTGAAATACTGCATTTTGTACAGCTATACAGCATAAATATACATATTCTCTGAGCACTCACCTGTCATCACATACTTGGGTGGATGGATTATCAGTGAACATAACATTTCCAAAGGTCTTAGTTCGCTTGACGGGAAACACCCCTCCAATGAGAACATCTCCTCTTCTAAATATTCCTGGAATGACACTCCTATCTAGTCTACAAGAAGGAAAAAATATTTCACAGACGCATACCTGATAAAGCAGCAAGTGCAGCACACAGTACAGCATCTTGATGTTGTGGAGATGGGACCCTCTTAGCCCTTATTTATACCCTCCAGCTTGCTTGTCTCTTTAGGTTTAATTGTCCAAGAACTTTGTTGTCAGGTCCTCTGGGATGTTCTGATATGGATGCAGACAATGACATGACTTTTTCCTGTCACTCCTGATTATGTGTGAAATGCAAGTACAAACATATCACCAGAGGGACTAGCTTGATACATTTAGCCAAACGGAAGAGAATCTTGTGCATTTTAATAGAAATGTCAGTGCTATCTGCAATATTATAGACAACAGAAACATGCAAAAAAAAAACATAATTTAATGATGATTAAAAATAAATACTAAATTGGTAAAGTAAAAAAAATGCACAATGAGGCTTATTCGAGAGATCTGTTGTTAAAAGGAATGTTTGTGTGAGAAGCCTCTCATGAACGTGTATTTTCTAACTCCCAGGCTATGTTCTGGGCCCATGGCATTACTTACAGTGAAGCTGTATTGGTTAAGTGCCAATTGCCCAGGAGTATATGAGGTCAGGCAGTCAAATAATGGCAGCTTCTATCTGATTTCATACTCCTGGTGCTATAACATTTGCACATGCCTATGTAAAAATGACATACCTCTATTGGAATCTGAAACAAAGCTGCTATTGTTGGGGAATGCATTTTGATACATGCAGCCACCTTTATTTCTGGACACCCTATTAAGGGATATTGAGGTGTGCATCTTCCCACCCCACCACCACCAGGAAAAGGGCATCTAAATCAGGAGAGGAAAAGGGCAGGGGAGGAAGAAGGCACCTAAATCAGATCAGCTATGTGCACTGTAAGTCCCTGTTCTTTCTGCCTCACACTGCTCACCTCTGTGCATTACATTACTGACCTCTGTACTGCTGACCTCTGTGCGTTACATTACTGACCTCTGTACTGCTGACCTCTGCACTGCTGACCTCTGCACTGTGTTATATTACTGACCTCTGTACTGTGCGTTACATGACTGACCTCTGTACTGTGCATTACATTAGTGGCCTCTGTACTGTGCATTACATTAGTGACCTCTGTACTGTGCATTACATTGCTGACCTCTGTACTGTGCGTTACATTGCTGACCTCTGAAATGTGCGTCACATTACTGACCTCTGTACTGTGCGTTATATTGCTGACCTCTGAAATGTGCATCACATTACTGACCTCTGTACTGCACTGTGCGTTACATTACTGACCTCTGCACTGAGTCACATTACTAACCTCTGCACTGCACATTACTGACCGCTGAAATGTGCGTTGCATTACTGACCTCTGCACTGTGCGTCACATTACTGACCTCGGTACTGCTAACCTCTGTACTGCACTGTGTTACATTACTGACCTCTGTACTGTGCGTTATATTACTGTCCTCTGCACTGTGCGTTACATTACTGAACTCTGCACTGTGCGTTACATTACTGACCTCTGTGTTGTTACTGATGTCTGTACTTTGCGTCACACTGCTGAGCTGGCGCAGTTACGGCCGGGGCAGGGTAGGGGTTAGGTGGGGCAACTTGTGGCGGGTAACTCTTAACGCCTGGCTAGTAGCTCAGGGCCTGAAATTTTGAGCCCTGTACTAATAGGTATGTAAAGATAATTCTACATATTGGTGTGCTGGATAGAAAGGGTTTACATGACTTGCTTTTGAATGTTATGTCAGCATTTAATTCAGTTACTGGATTTCCCTAATCTAAATCAGATTTAAACGATTTGCAGCTCCTTAATTACTGAACTACATCCCTTTCTTCTTCAGTCAGCTAATCCCTCTGACATCTATATCCATTTGAGGACTACTGTACTTCTAAATCATCTTGTGTTTGCATAAAAGAGAAATGGTTATATGTTTGTAATACCAGCTATAATATATAGCATTCCCAGGGGACACAAAGCACTTTACCAGCTGTTGAGGCAGCCATCTTGGGCACACTCAGTAGAATATCATTTTTGGGACAATTGTAGACTGGAGCCAATTAGCCTACCAGCATGCCTCTGGAGTGTGGGAAGAAATCCACACCTGGCCGGGATTCAAACCAATGAGCCCCAGTTTTGCAAGGCAGAAGCACTAAATTCTAAGCCACTGTGCTGTCCTCTAAGCCAGGGCTCAAAATTTCCACTCGCCTGCTCGCATTTGGCAAGTGGAAATGCAGTGCAGGCGAGTGGAAATTCAGTCAGGCTTGAGTCAGTACCTGACTAGTGGGAGCAGCTACTCCTGCTGGGCTCTCTGTTCTGTCAGCCGCAGCTCTTCACTGAGGCTTGGCTAGTAGCTCAGGGCTTCAAATTTTGACCCCTGCTCTAAGCTATCAGAGGAGTCTTCATATACTATTATGTCAGGTTGTGTTCATTATTGGTCAATGTTAAAGCACAGTGGAAGGCAGGAAGGAACAGCCAGTTCCTTTCAGCTCTTCCAGAAAACTTGAACCTGCGACCTGTTGGATTACCATGGTAGACAGCATGATTCGCGAATAGGTAAGAATGTCTTTGATGAAATGGCAGATTATGGATGTGTTGCATCATCATGATCTTAGTACCCTTACTTGAACCTAATAAAATTCAAATAAGTGTATTTTTGTTATGAAAAGATTGTGTACCACATCATCAAGACATTGGCTTATTCTATCAGGCCAGATGATCGGGGGGAAAGTGAGAGGATTTCTAGAAAGCAGTATATACAGGAGGGCAACCATGCGCTCTAGATGTGGGAAGTAATCTGGTATTATTATTATTGGTATTTATATAGCGCTGACAATTTTACACACCACTTTACACAGTGCCCATTCACATCAGTCCCTGTCCTCAGTCCCTGCCTTTACAATCTACAGTCCCTATTTCACATGCATACATACAAGGGCTAATTTAGACAGTAGCCAATCAACTTACCAGCATGACTTTGGAGTGTTGGAGGAAAGCGGAATCCCCAGAGGAAACCCACGCAAGCACATGCAAACTCCTTGTAGATAGTGATCTGGCCAGTGTTACAAGGCAGAAGTGCTAACCACTATGTCCCCATGCTGCCCAGGATGGTATTTTCTGTGGGTTTGACCCTATTCCGAATTTGCTGAAAAACCACCATTAGAGGTTGCAGATTATACCAATCTTTGATCTGGGAAGTATAAAAAAAAACAAAAAACAACCCTGCCTCTACACATGTTTACATGCATTTAGAGTATCTAGTCCATCCCTGGATACACAGATTTCTATTTTTTTTCTAAATGTGGATAAACTGAATGGTACAGGTTGTATTTATAAAAAATGTGCAGTCATTTATTCTGTGAAATTGTATGTACATACTGTACATGCTGCACAAATGGGGCAAAAACAATGGTTAGTATATTTCCTTTCTAGGTTGAATGTAATATCAGGAAAATACCACATTATGGCTACTAGGTGGCGCTTGAGGAGCATAACAAATATATTATTTTTGGCCTTTACACATCTCCCCACCTGGCTCTTAGCATCCTGTCATGCTATGGCCAGAAAGGGGGCAGCTTTGAGCACCAGAGTGGCCACTATACAACAAATATGCCGCTCTGCCTGCCTGCCGCCACCCCCCACATGACCCACAGAGATGCTGCCTGAGGCAACAGCATCATTAATTAAAATGATAAGGATTTCCTTTGCATGTGATGAGATGACTGAAGTAGATACAGACACACCAATCTAAGTGAAAATGTAGTGCTTTAATAAATCCACCCCAATGACTACAGGGTTACTCATTCCTTCAGAAACCATCCACCAGTTAATAATTTCTGCTCAGTGTTGTATTCCATAGGGCTTTATACTGTAAAATGTATGCACAGCTTTCTTCTTCGATTAGTGTAAATTCTTCCGACTGGAAAAAAAATAAGTCATCTGATCAGCTACTTTACTCTCCCAACTCCAAAATCATAGGGGAGTTTGAATATCTGGGGAGAGCCGCCCAAGCATTCATATGTGTCATGAGCATTAGTTGTCTCTAAGGATATGGCATCTGAATGTTTTCATAACCAAACAAGACTGATAATGAATTTGAAGTTCTATAAAGAAAATTACATTGTAATTTTCCTCTGTCAAAAAAGCCCAATCATTTCACAAGCACACGTTTTAAAAATTCGGTTCCCCGCATTAAACTCATATTGCTGCGAGAACCTTGGATGCAGTGGGATGGGCTTTGCCTGATTTTAAGAACTATTATCTTGCACGTCAGATGGTGGTGAAACACAGATGGATTCTTAAAGATGACACTGATGTGGCTAATGTGTTGGAGGCAGCATGTCGTGGCTCCTAAGAGGCCCTTTCTTGCTTGGCTTATCGGGGCAAGGAAGCTCTGTATGCCTTGACAACTTCCATGGAAGCTGCTTTGAAGACTTGGGTCCAGGTATGCTCTCTCCTATACCCTGGTAACTCGGATTAGTCTCCTTTCACCCTCTTATGGCAGAATCCACGTCCCTAAAAAATCCGGTTCTTGCCTTACTACTCCCTCTGGGCCTCCAGGAGTATTCAAACACGGGGGAATATCATACATAATTCTTCCTTAGGCCTCGTTCACACCTGAACGTTTTGTAGCGCGTTCTATGCTCGACGCACGCTCTACAAAACGCTCAAAAATATAAATCCCATTGTAGTCAATGGTCTCGTTCCCACCTTGGCGTATTTCCGCCCGTCCCTAACGCGCTACAAAACGGCCCACGCCTGAAAAGGTACATGTACTACTTTGGGCCGTTGTGTAGCGTGTTTCCATTGGGATACAGCCAAGTAGCCCTCGGAAACGCACGCGTGTCGCGCAATTTTTTTTTACCAAAACCGCGCGACAGACGCGCATATGCAATACGCTTAGGTGTGAACCAGATTGAAGAAAATAGGTCACCAGCACTCCATAAGTTAAAATGAATGAGTCCTTTTAATGGACAATGATGTCACAGAAATCCAACATGAGCCG